ACACTGCGAAAAATGGAAAAGAGCGCAATTATAACATGTAGGAACCTTGGGATCAAATCTCCGCCACACCACTTGATAAAATGCAGACACTTGCGGGGATTTCGCTAAGCTGGCACTGCCAGTGACCACGAAACGTGAGGCTACCGAAAAATGTCATTATCCCCTATTTATCTTGAAGCTGTCGTGGTCTAGCCGACTTGTACATCACCGCCACTCTATCCACTTGAATGACTTGTTGATTGATTAGATTTTAGAGTATTTGGGAAAACACATTTGTGCGTCTACAGCTGTGTCAACATGAGAGAGATGTCATTGGCAATGAGAGCAGTAGAAAAGAATCGTCGGGTAAAGTGAATGGAAAAGGAGAGGAAAGTTATGGTAATATATAAGATTAACCATTAATTAACTGGAGGAACGATTCAGATGTAGTTACAACACCAAAACAAACCAAATAGAGGACGCCATATAGTGACAAGCAGCGCACCACACCAAAAAAAGTGACCTGGTCAGGGTCGAATCCCAGATGGAGTCTCGCTCTGGTCAATCAAGCCTTCCATCCTCCGGAGTCGGCTCATTGGCACCAGACTCATGTGCGATTAATAATGGAATCTTAAAATCGATGGACGAGATACTTTCTGAAGGGAAACACCCCAAAGTTGTGTTCATCAGTCAACTTCTTCAACCTAAGATTGAATTTGGAATAATAAATAACTAACTACAAGCAAAGTACAGCGCCCACCAATCGGTTCCTTCTGTCGAATGTTCCTTCCTTCTGTGCTTGGGTCAGCCAACCTTCTACTACATAGTCTTGACATGAGAGGTATTTGTTCTAGTTCATGGTTAATGTAACTATTCAGAGCCATACCTATCCAGAAGAATGATAACACCAGTCCATGACTTACTCCTATAACAATATAGACCCTTTAGAACATCCTAACTTATATTAACTTACACTGGAATGTCCTACGACTTAGGACAAAAAATGAGTGTAAATGTCCCACGATTTTGAGCGAAATTCGAATGTGCGGCACGGTCAATTAGGTTAAACTTCACATCATCGAATACTCTGTTTTCTCTGACGAAACCTCAGATCGCCAACAGAAGGGAAAAAGGCAAAGTAAAGGGGCCTATCGGTCTAAGCCACACCCTTCGATTTGACATATGTATTTCTAAACATATGTATCTAGTCAAAAGAATGGAAGCTTCGTAGCAAAAAGGTAAACAAATGAGAGCTGAACATATTACAGAATCTTGCTCAGTCGACCATGAATGGCTAGTAAAAACGAATGAGGCTGTCAATAACAGAACGATGAAAAGCAAAAGAGGAGTTGTATCAACGGGCCCTGTTGATTAAATTTTTCCACATGCAAGACACTAGACGGTACCAGCTAGATTGCGGATGCTTTCTTCGGGGAGCAGCTGAAACACAATGTGAAACGTGGCCTAGAGAGCACGTTGGCCAAGTTCCCCATGTTCCCAGGTAATAACAGACAGATTGGTGAGCCAGTTGAAATGGAAATTAATGATATCGGTCTGATGAGATGTGTTTAGTCAGCCTTTCCGAAAACTAGCCAAGTACTTGCACTTGCAGACGCGCACACCCTCACACCTTGTCTACGGTTGAAAGTCTCACGAAAAAGAGGTACCATGGAGACAAAAACACTTCAGAGAAGAATCATTAATCTTGTCATCTCTAACTGAAGAAATTTCGATGGGGTTTTTTCTTCGTAGATGCTTTAAAAGAGGGCCATTTGAGATGAATCGTGTCAGCCTGACATCGCTTGCGGTCGAATTGTCGTCTACGGCGCTAAAATTAGGCCAACCCCATGCCCTTTTGACATGCACAGCCATTCAAGGCTATTCAAAAAGAGAAGTTGGATATGGAAGAATCAACTCTAGGCGAAGATGCGAGGCAGTAGCCATTCAGTGAGTATGAGGGATTCAGCAGTCTATGAGTAAACGCATCTGTTACTGTCATTTATACATATGAAGTTGCTTGAAAATAGAATTGAATAACATATTTTGCTGCCTACTTCAGACCGGAACAGGCAGTGGATTTGCTTTTTTCTTCAATCACCTCAAATCCCGCATGCAAACCCATAACCACTGCTTTTTCTTGTTGGGAACTGAAACCAGGCGTTATAATCGCCCTTCCGACTAGGTAAAACCGAACAGAGCGCTGATAATTGACACACTGAAACGCAAGGTTGTTTGTGAAGGGCATAGCCAAAAATTCATGGTCGGTGTCAACTTCCATTTCCCGAGAAGCCTGATAACCATCTTGGCTTGCATTCTATTACCGCTATCTGATAAGTTCAAGGAGGTGATACAATCAGTTCCGTAACAAACAGATCAAGAAGAAAGTAGTTGTAAAGCAAAGAATAAGAAAAAATTAACGTCCACCTAGCCAGAACCAATTACCCTTCTTTACCAAAAAAACGGAATGAAAAAGTTTCAGAACCGCAAGGCGGGCGTACTGACCGCAATCATTTGTGGTTACCAAAGCACGTCTAACCCAGGCACTTCCTATAAACAACGATGGAGAAGCATCAGAGTGAAAATAATTCTGATGTAGTTACACGTGAAACAATATTTTCTAATTCGGTAGACTAATGGTAAACTTATCGGAGAGCTCTGGCATGATGTGATTACTTTGGGAAACGGTCAGTAGTATCGGTTTTGCGTGATCGATTCGCAGCGCGCGGCTGTCCGGAGCACTCGCTTCGGCGTTATTACAGCTCAAGTGTTCTTCATGCAGCTCAACCGATATGCGATCATTATTCTAGGCATGATTCTACTAACAGTTCTTTTGTTTCTGTATTTCTTACCTGCTGCTGCATTCTGCCACCTTCTTTCACGCACGGCGTCCCTCTCGCCGCGACGCGACAGTTTCGATCCTATTGCACCACACCCGATTACTTCGAGACCGGCTTGTTAGTGCTGCCTTCTGGCTGCGTTCTTCACAAGCTACATTGCGTTTCAGGTTGTCGATTATCTCTATCATTTATCTATCTTTATACAATGGTGATAAGGCGTGTCACCGTGCTTCTCATCCATGTAAAAAAATACTGTAATTGGCTCAGACGGCCATTGGTTCTATTTACAAATAGGGTATACGGCGAATGTGACATCGATACGGAAGTGCGGACACAACCTAAGTGCCGATTAGTTAGTGCCGCTTGGCTGAAGATTGCCCCAATTTTTCATGATTTCATAGGGCACATAGTTAAACTGATTCTAACCTAACCTTGCCTCTTTCTTATCATAGAAAGGGAAAATTTCATTCATGAAAAATGATAAAAAAATATATTAAGATTTTGCATTACGGGTTTTCGAAAATGTACCTCATCACAATAGTCGTATACAATTAATAAAAACATTATGGACACACTCGTAGATATATACCTGAATTAAGGCATGTTCATAAAAACCATGTAATCGGTCCCATGTAGATGGTTAGATAAGTGCATTCGAGCTGTTTTCTAGCTGTGTTTCTACCGTGTTTCCATTAGATTTGTACTAAGTATTTGCACAGAATGCTATTGACAGGCGGGTGTCTAGAATTCTCCCATGAATTGCCCCCTCGATCCTCTAGCGAAACTGAATAATGGTGCTTTGGTGTTAACAATCTTATTTGCGCTGTATCAACAAAACTTTTCCCAGCACTCCCACAGAGCCCGGACAATGTCTAGGCTCTTCAGATACAATAATAGAGGGAATCGAAGAACGACTTAAGGAGGAACTTAAAAATTTCCACCACATCATTCACCTATTCACCTAAATTACATTATAGTTGACAAGAAGCAAATGAGGAGTACTATTATAAAACTATTCGTAGTTCATTCAATGCGGTTCCAATCGCAAACATGCCTGCTTATGGTAATCCACCAAGTCAAGATTGCGGTATATGCCATCGAAGTTTTATATAGGAGCACGGAACGGCTTTGGTTACCAAAAACTTCCACGATCATACATTTAGAACTGATTTCGGCAAGTAAGCATTTCAGTTTCCCGCTGTTCAGAACCGGCAGTTCAATTGAAAGACTCGGAGTCGACTTGTGGACAAAACTTTGGCAACCGAAGCGACTCGTACCGGTACTTGTACTTTCCGGGCTCCTACACTACTGAGATCATTCTTGCTCTCACCTTCTTGACGGTACAAGGCCGATATTGGCTGGCATCGGCTCGTCGCATTGTACAGGTCAGCGCTGAAGAGCTAGGCATGAAATGACTAATTGTAAGAAGGTGAGGCATGAGGAGTCTCGGAAGGGACAGGCACGGTTCTCAGGTAGCCCATGTATGAGTTTGAGTCCTGTCCGAGTTATTGCCCGCAACTCGCCATCTTTGTGAGAATCGCATTGTGCACTGCAGCGAGATAACAGCAGTTCAAAAAACCAAGCCAATATATCCATTGAAACCCCTCTTACAGTAATTCGCACAAAAGACAAAGACAGGACAAAGATTAAAGTATGCGATTAGATGTTTTCTTCGAGTATGATAAGGGGATATTAAAAGCTGATAGATTTCAGAAAAACTGTTTATGCACCAACCAGCACTAATTCTTTCAAGGCTTGTCTGACCAAGCATGCACGGTACTCCTATCTGGCTTACCGTCGGATTGGAGATTAGATGCCGCTTCCAAAAGACTCAATAAATTTGACAGTACCTCCCCTAATGACTTGGCAATTCCACCTCTAATGACAATTAACCCAAAAAAACCTAGTTCCACAACCCAACAAACTAAAACCTAAAACTTGAAACGAGCTTGTTAGCGTTTTCCTTCCGTCTTTCAGGAAACTTCATAGATTCATCTATTTTGTGACACGAGCTGTATGAACGATTGTAATAATTAAAATCTAGCAGCAGTTCTGTTTAAATATGGAGATTTCCTCAATTCCCTTGATGCTCTGACTTTTTCTCAAACCGTAAATTCTTCAGTACTGTCACGAATTATTTCACCTACCGCCTAATCACGAGAGTGTTCAGTGTGAGGGATGTTGTCAAGAACTTTCCGTATTTTTGAGTCCGGAATGAACAATTCGAAAACAGCAGTAACGAGAAGGAGCTCCAGCGCCAGCCTGGAATGACGTAGCCGTTTGGCTTCAAAAGTGTAGGTGAACTTTGAGATTCTAATGCCACGAAAGACAAACACGCTCAACTATGTATAAGCATCCTGAAAAGACTCCGTGGTGGCTCGCTTCTTTCGAAGAAAAAGGTTCATATCAATTTTTGTGTAGAAACTTCCATAAAATCGCTGATAAAAGGAATAAAACCCATACATTGAGATTATGCAGTGTTCTCAATCCATCACTTTCTTTGACGAGAATCCGGGACTTCATTTGTCGCGTCCATGCTTTGTTGAGATCATTTTTTTCGTTCTTAGCCTTAGGCATCTGAACTTTTACGCCTTTTCGATGACAGAAAAGGGTGTAAGTGTAATAGGGAGAACGACTCACAGAAGTAGTCACCAGAACAGTACAGCCAATATCGGTCAAAATACCGATTCTGCAAAGAATGCTGTTGAAAACAGCAGAACCTGAAAACTTTACTTCGGTATACTCCTTCTAGGTAAAAAACTGTAATTCTAATTTTAGTTCCCGTGAAAGACCACCACACATCCATGACAGCTTTAACTTATATGCATGAAAAACTGTTAGTGATCAGAAAAGGGTCCCAACTCACGCGTCATATTTTCAACCAGTTGGCGATCATCGAACATTTCAAATATGCTATCGATCACGATAAGCCGGAAATTATTGGTTTCCATTTTTTCCTTCAATGATAATCTATATCATCACACAGTACATATAGCGTAAAGATAAGTGAACTCCCAAATGAACTGCGGCCGCGTATTCTTATAAATTTTTCCGGGAAGTATTTCGATTACCAGAGGGGCAGTGCCTCGAAGGGTTGACTTAGATGTAACATCCTCCTCTACACTGCTCCAGCTAAATAAAAACGTCTCTACCAGGGCTGGTCCATCGTCCCTTGAAGGAGACGTCTGTCCCGAGACTAACTGATTACATTAGCAAGCAGTGCATGTCGCGAAAAAAGGATTCGGCAGCTTTTGGATAAAATTTGATCTTAGCCATCATTTCGTAGGCAATCACGGGAGGCAAGTTTTATGTCAGATCATCCATCGCAAGGTGAATCATAAATTTGCAAGCAGGAAAACTGATCCTTTTCTAAACCAAAATACTTTTGACTACTGGTTAGCATGACCATCAGATAGGCCTCATTACGATAACAGGAGCACGACCCTGTCGGCGGCATCTACAGCTCCGAGACTGATCCAGTGCACATTACAAGGCTCAGATGGCTTCGAGTAATGATTAAATACTGAAGTATGGTTATTCGCAGAATGGAAAGGCACAGCAAAAAACACTCACAACTGTCTGCCGACTTGAATATGAATTACCTAGGAACCTTTACTGCCACTGTTTTACGCAAAAATTCATACCTACTTCTCATTGCTGAACTAATGTACGCTGAGAGATCAAAGTTTTGTGTAACATTTTACATCAAGCATTCTCGATAAACATACATCGATAAATTCAAGGGCGTCGAGCAGTTGCGTCTGATCAGACACTCGGGCGACGCATATGCGATCCAGTAGCGAATTCTGCAAAGAGAGTAAAATAAGATAACTTTATGCGGCAAGTACGAGGTCACGAAGAGCGGAAACCAATGATCTTAGCGTGCAAAAATTTGCAGTCATTTTGGATTAACGCTTAAGTCCGATCACGAACAGAAAAGATGATGGTCATTCCACTCGATCTCGCCCCATTTCCTGGCGTATAGGGGCTCAAATCGTCACGGGCATCAAATCGCGGTTTAGGCCGACCGAAGACTACCCATTGCGAATCAGTTTAGAGAAGACTGAAGCAAATATTACAGTTCATCTGAGGTGAACCCGACGAATGTGATTCGCAAGATTCATTCAATTGTCTTTAACCGATAATGGAACTGAAATAAAACCTAAAATATCGTGGGATAGGGATGAAACTTACATTAGGTTCCTCAAGATTACAAGACCCAGCAAAGACGATGGGGCCAATCGGGGTTATCGAGCTGATTCTATAGAGTTATACTATCTCGGTCTTCCAAAGCTCCACAGCCATATTTTTGAAACAGAGATACTTACTGCGATGTATCACAAAAGAAAGCTAAGGTTTGTCACACCTAGCAGGGAGCAGGAGCATTGCTAGTTTGTCTATCGTACTGGATTAGTACATTAAAGTCGAACCAAACGGATCTCTCTAACCGTGCTACTCTATGGTCTCATGTCATCCTAACCGAGTCCAACGATTAGTAGTCTCTAGCGCTCCATAATTAGGTTTGCATATTTGATTGTTCAAGCATCACAGAACTGATGGGATTTAGACTACACGCTTAAAATCCCCTGTTACTTACTACCAAAGTCATCCTGAGGGATAAAAGACTATAAAGCAACGTAAAAAGACCACCCATAAAGAGGATTGAAGGTAAAACTCACAACAACATCAGTATCATCAATTCCCCTCCCATTTATGAACTCGACCAATCGATGTGAACGGAAGGAACCATTGGAATCTAACCAAGCTACATTGTATTTAGTGTGAAGGAGGGTGTTCGCAACAATGGCGTAGCATAGCTGAAAGGATCTGTGCAAAAAAACCGAAACCCTTGATTTCCTCCAAATCTGTTTCGAAAGGAACGAGCTCTAAGAGGAACGAAAACTCCGAGAGGGCAAAAAACTTACCTGAGTTTTCCCCGCACTTGAGCCACCTACTATCTCCGACATTTCGCCAAACTGCAGATCATTTTGCAGCAGGTTGTCAATGCTGGACAAACCCGTCTGGAGAGCCAACGGTATTCCAAGTGCCACCAAAGCATCAATGGCTGTCTCGCTGTTTAGGTCACACATATTTTTCCACGCGAGACAAAGCTCAAATTCTGAAATAAAATAGCCCAATTACAGAGCGAGAAGCAAACGTTATTGGAATCAGACTCTGCAAAAGGGATGTAAATTCAGATAGACTCTGCATTGAAAACAACGTGAGGCTCATAGGAATAGATGGGCCTTCCCGTCTCCTCGAAATTTTTTCCTTCACTCACCCTAAAAGGTAAACCCACTTATCTTGCAATGAGTTCCTTAGAGAAAAAACAACACGCAAGTATGACCGTAACAGATATGTCCTTCCTACTCAGGAGAATCACTATGATATCTAACTACCAGCCATATACAAGTACATGGTATGAAGGTGTTAAACTCACCACCACATGGAATCAGACACGTTCCCTATTTGCTATGTGTTGTAGCAACAAAAAATAACTGTGTGCTCACTGCGATGGACCTCGTAGTATAAACGCCTTTCCTGAGACCTCGCTTGAAAAGCTTCACGTATGTTTCCGTTGGAACTGCGTCTAAATTATCTATAGGGAACAAATCGTTCACAGAGTGGAGAGGTTACAATAAGGCTGTGGAAACTACTGATAAATAGCGTGCAGCGGGACCAGGCAGGAAACCATCTACAACGGCCTCGTGGTGATCACATACTAAAACGCAAACTTGTGTTGCGGAACGCCCTCCATGTTGCACTAAGCCCCTTGTCTTTACCCCTCCTGCGCATTTAATACCGAGTAATTTCGATTTTTACCAAAGCAAACTGTCATAATTAGAGCCCTTTTCTTGCTAGTGCCTCTGATGAATTGTTTTGGTTCACTACTCACTGATGTGCAAATAGCCAAAGACAATTTCAACTTGTTTTGGGATATCTTACACACCTTTTCAGCCCCTGGTTAATTAACATGTGACTTATCTGAGGATTAATCAGAGATGAGACAAAGTGATCGTAAAACGAGGTTAAAATTGAAAAATGGCCATTTGTGGTAAGTCTTTGCCAGTGCTGATGTTCCTTGCATTACTTTTACCTACATGTACGTTTAAACTATTTCTAAGAATCGATTACTCGTCTTTTTGAATACATGAACTTGGAGGGTATTTTATGTTCCAATTTACAAAGGAGACACGGACAGTGCTGAAATCGGTCATAGGAGATAAATAGTTCATCAGGGAATAGTAACAAGAGTATAAGACCAAGTTAGAATGGTGAAGCACTAGTAATTCTATTTATGGATTCAGTAAGCATGAAAAAAACACGTAGACGCTCCAACGTCACAATGGAGGATGAATACGTTCATTCATCAAACAACACTCATGTTAAATTTACAATCACACTCGAAGTAATATTTAAAATCACGTCTTCGTCGTGTACTATCTATAATACACCTGCAAATAGTAAAGATGACAAAATATCTTCCAGAATAAGCATAGCTCAATTGCTAGAAAACTGTACTCGAACGCATGCATACGCGTGCAACAACTATCGCGGAGATATCGTCGGTGGCAGGAGATACAGGTAAAATCCTAGGATTGCTGACTTGGAAGGATCGGAACGATAAGATGCTCTTGAGCCATCAAATTGTACTTCGTTACGTAGGTGGTAAAGCTAAACTATAAGAATATTTCAAAACTATCATTTGAGTCTAACTCATCACAAACAATATGTTGAGTTTTTTTCAACAACACGAGAAAAAAAAAAAGATTATGTGTAATTGTAAATGGGCAGTAACTGTAACCTATTACTCATGGTTGGAAAACAGTGGAAACCCAGAGACCCGGCTCTAAAAGCCGACTATAAAGATAGGTGTCGATCTCGCACATGAGGAAATCTCATTCCCGTGTTCCCACATATCTTGAATAATGAATCATAAGAAATACGTGAAGGAGGTAGAGGACCACTGTAAAAGGAGTAATAACGATAAGAAGCCATCGCATAACCTTTACCACCATCGGTATTGTTCATGCCGGAGAACTAGGGAACGTCGCGTTGACGAAAGAATAATGGTAAACAAGGATTCCATATGGGAATATGTCAACGTCAGAGGTAGAGCAAATAAGTCGTTGTCGAGAAGAAAGATGACATGGAGGAGACCCATGAAAAAAAATGTAAGAAAAAAGTAGGAAAGAGCTTTAGGAAAAGCATCAACGTGGAACAGACTAGCAGACAAAAAAACGGTGGTCAGAAGGACTGCTCAGAGCTAAGGAATTAGTCGAAACAATTTTTGTGATCCCTTTAACATATAATGAGTGGAATTGAACATAGTTGACCTTTTGATGACTATAGGACAATTTTAGAATACTAAACAAACACTGTAAAGCAAAGTTATCATCATTGAAACAAATTCAACTGACCGCTTGCAAAGATGAGTACTGGTCTCGAATTCATCGAATAATTGTCTATGATGGAAATAAGCATGTGAGAATATCCTGTATACCCGCCGGCATACGGATCCTAATTTTGATAACGACGATTCCTGGAAGCATCTCTTCTTCAGATGTAAAACAGCTCCTCCGCAGTTCTACTTTGTCATTCGATTATAAGAAAACAAGAGAACAGAATTTCAAAGGAAAACAAGAGAGGCCGATCATTGTTTATGACTGAGATCCAATTTTAGACTAGCGTCAAGTTTGTAACGAAACCTTTCAAATTAATACCACGCCAAATTTTTAGTGTGTTTAACAGGTATTTTGATCATCAAGAGCGGCCAGCGGCTAACAAAAACTCAAGTATGTTGGACAAATTGAGGGAAAGTAGCTCGATTAAATGGAAACGTTGCGAAAACCTGTTTGCGTTCAGTGGCATTAAGAAGGAAATAATTCTGGATGTAAGTGAGATTCTTAACAGCACTCAACAACTGATTCCAGAATGAACTATAAGCCACCAATTATTCTTTGCCTCCACCTCGCTACTTGCTGACTCTTCACGAATCCGATTATGTTTCGCGATCAAGGATAGTACGACGCCTTCTCATTCAAATAACATGAGTAATGTTGCTCAGCCGAAACTTTTTGGAGCAACACTGTAACACTCACCTTGATATTTATTCTACTCGGAAAATACTTGTTGCTGTTAAGAAGTGAGGCTGCACCATCGAGGGTATGTCTCGTGTAGTCAATAGCCGAACACTGAATAGAGTTCATACCCTAACTGAACTTAACCATGGAAAAGCAAAATCTTAAAATAATGGCTTTGAAGCAAACCTCCTTTGGATTCTTATGGGCAGCGCACAGGAAAATCCACTGCTCAGTCGCAGTCATTTGAATGCACGTTTCGGGATTGCATTCCTCCTTAACGACTGTGTTTAAAGCAGGGATCGATGATGAATTTTGGGAAACATATAAGGTTCTTCGCCAACAACGCGGGTATTTACATACTCTTTAATGAATTATAAGCGATAACTTTCATATAAACAAGCAAGGCTTTAAAATAAATTCCAAATACAATAGAATTGCTACATCAGTCATAATCACCGTTCAGCGCTTACGAAAAACTTTTTTTTGGGATATTTCCAGAAACTCTTGATAGTTCTCGCACAACTTTAATGCTGCACTTTGACTGACCAAACTTATCGTAAAATGAACTCAGATTCAAAAGGAAAACAATATGAGATGAGAACAATGTAGTACTGCTTTGAGAAAAACACACCTGAAGCATAAAGGCGAGCCCATTAAGTTGCAAGCAGAACTGACGAAGATGTTCATATTTCCACACGCCGTCATCAAGATCAGGAGGAGGTGTAAGAATCAAATCTTAATTGACTACGTGGAATGAACTAGTTGTTTTGAGCCTTTGAAAAATAAAAGGTCCAGAAAATGTGAAATTGAAGTCATAGAACTCGTACCTATATCAGCAGGATTTTGTTGGATCGTCTGTTGAATGTATTGTTGGACGTTTAATGTTGAGTCCATGTCATCAAATGCTAAAGGTGGCCATCTGCACCAGTCCTGAAAGAATGTTGGCCTACTCACCCCAAAGTCCCACTTAATCGACTATTGGATATCACATTGTGAGCTTCTGCATGTGACAGATAACATGGAAGTCTCGGTCATCTTCAATAACCTTAAAACTGTCGGCTTTTTTGACTCTGACCCGAAAACCTTCCCCGACCTGAACTCGGTTATTACATCTGATCAAATAGCATCACTTTTCTATTTGCAGAGGCGGACTCCTCTACTAAAACAGATCTTCTCACTGAAATAAGAAGAAGAGTACAAAGTAAGAAGAAACTATTCTCTGATCTAATAAAAAAGAAAACGTTCACGAATAGAGCCAACCACCAACCTCTCTCTTCGTGCCTGGGTCGTTCCGGCGAAAAATACGTGGCTGTTCTGCTGTTTGAACAGTCATTTTTGAAGTTCTACAAATGAATCTTGACTATCTGGATGAGGAAAACAACAAATGAAAGGAGGAATGAACAAGATATGAAAGGAGGAATGAACAAAACAGAAAATGAACTGTTGAAGCGTCATTTGTTGTGTACTGTACGTAATAGGCACTTAGCCTCCGCGCATTTTTTTACGGTTCTTTGTTGTTACGCTTGATCCATTTGATTGTAAACTGGTTCTAAACACTGTGTTGCTCTATTGAGGAGCAGATCGGACTGGATTTTCAGAAGATGTTGTGGCAGAAGAGATACTTCGGTTTCAAAAGAGGGATATTCGCAAGGCAAGCGCCCTTGACGTACTTCTAAATGTGATCCAATTTAAAAGGACCGTTTGTCAGCTTAGAGATTGCCATGGATCAGTAAAAGTCCTTGAATACCCTGTCTTGAGGAGGTCTTGGCTCACAGCATTCAGGTGACAATGGTCTACAGCATTTCTGAAGCGGCTTTCAGGTTCGACAAAATGTGATATCATCAGTAAACCAATTGAAGTTCCAGACGTTCCCCGTCCTTTTTCACTCGATTACTCGTTTTCAGGCTGCAAACTGATTTTCTACGGGGTTAATAGAGAGCATAGTTCAGAACCATTATGAAGCCTGGTAACGTAGCCTCAAAAGTGTACGAATTGAGAGAAAACATTGTCGCTTGAGAGCTCTATGCTCGTTAAACCTTCGCGGTAGGAGAGGTTACAAAGAGATGAGCAAACCAGCCCGTTTGGCCCTTCTTCTCAAGGACCTTACTCTTGCAAGTTCAGTCTCTGTATACATTCTGCATTGGGTAGTGTTTAACCTAATCTTCTCATCTCTATGCACTGCGGTTATTAACCCAATCAATAGAATGTAAGACTGCAGTAATAAGAAGTTTAAGAGCTTAGTCGAGTCGTACTTCCACCGAGTAATATTAGCATAATGGGCGCCGATCGATGTTCCTCAGTCCCATTCTGCCGTTCTATGTACGGGATTAGTTCTGTACCTTAGAAAAACACCGATATGCATGGATATATCCAAAATACACGAGGGTAAAGAGGAAAGGTTAGTGCAGGTGTTCGCATGCCTACTAGAGTCCACTTAACCATTTACTATTGATTAGTGGGTCATCACATAACGCCGATTATTATCGGCATATTGATCGTATTGCGAGGTCAGTCGACAAAGGACCTAGTCCACTAAGTATGTTCTTACTACTTCTTGATTTTAACTAATATTTCTCCCCTTCTGATTCATATCCTGTTCTTCCTCCTCAAAACGAAACAGATTAGTGGTCGCTGAAGAGCGGCGGACAAAGGCATTATGCATCATACATCAGTTGCCATGACATCATCGACTTCTTTCCATTTCAAACGTCGTTCTTTGCTTTTTTCGGTTGTCATACAAATTTTGAACCGCTCATCGTTGTATTTTCTTCCAGCGGCTGAGCACCCACGTTGTTCCTTGGAAAACCCTCAATCCTATCGTTTGGAGTAGGTTTTTAGGCCCCTAGAACTTACTGGTTAGATTTTTTTCCAGGTACTCTTCGCCGGTTTTCTCAACATCGAAGTCTTTCCACTAGGCAAGGCAACGTCCATTTTGCCAATCCATATGGTAGGTTTGGTGAAGGAATCAGTTTAATCCGGACTCATCTGCATAACTAGCCACCGATAAGAATTTTCGTTTCGATTATTAGTTAGTATCTGGCCCTATGTTCGCTCTTCGTATTGAGCCCCTCCAACTTTATTGCATGTTATTGATGTCAGATGGGTTTTTAGGGCTAGTTTAAAACTATACTTTACACGGTTCTGCTTATTTGCAGGCGGATTCCATGAGCTGTCGGTTCTCAGACGACGGATGGCCGATACAATATGATTTCGTGAGTTTTTTATTAAGCATTCAAGTGCACTTTTCAAAGAACGTCAATTCAAGCTCGCTCACTTGCTTATTTTTGGGCAGTTATTTCTTGTACATGATCGTTAACAGCAAGGGATTCTGAGAGTGAGGTTGTACTCTACTCTTTATTTTCATTCCTCAGTATTTCTATAACGCTACAGCGCTATAGTTGCTACTATGCAATCAACCTTCCTAAGGTTTCTCGCAAAAATCGGCTCCTGCAACGGGGAGTAGATGCGGTTCGGTTTAGCCAACACCCTAGGTTTTGTGGAATGGAGCGCTCAAAATTGATTTATTGATAATGGATTGCATATTCTGCTGATACTGGATGAGACGTTTGGGTACTTTTGTTATAATTATTAGAACTTATTTTCAAGGATCGTATTCTGCACAGTTATGAACTGATATATGATGAAGTTGAAAGGAATCCAGTCGAAGCTACAGTCGAAGAAGCTCCAGTCCATATGGTATCTTTATTTTTGATTCCTTTCTATATTATATATTCTTTCCGTACCATCAGCGCAGCAATGAAATGATTATGCTATGACCATAAGATCGCTTGGCTTATATGAGACTAAACTCGTTTTTTGCAAAAAGTTCAGATTACCCGTTAATACGAGCACTCCTCTTTCCTCCAGAATTGTTGATTGGGGATAGTCAGGAATCAGGGTTTGCATCCAAACATTATCACGAACGTGGGCATCGGCTTGAACGGCCCCTTCCACATTTGGCAATTCAGGTCTGGAGCAAATGAGTCACTAACTTACGGGCAACACCTACCCGGGAGACGGGCAATAGAATCGATTTTGTGTAATCGATTCGCCGCACGCGGCTGTTGCGTGCGTGTTCGCCGTTATTACAGCTCTAGCGTTCTTCATACAGCTCAGTCGATATGCGACCATTATTTTAAGCACGATTCTCCTATTAGTTCTTTTGCTCCTGTATTCCTTACCTGCTGCTGCATTCTGCTACGCTCTTTCACGCACGGCGTCCCTCTCGCCGCTACGCGACAAATTTCGATCCTACTGCACCACACCTCACTCACTCACACAAACACCCAACAGACACACCTTGCAAGTCCTATAGAGTTGATGTAACAGTACAGAACAATTATGGTGTTTTATGGCCAAACTGCATAATTATTTATTTGCAAGGTAGCATCCAAATTTTGAGAGAATCTCATTCGTAGGCGATGTACAGCAAATTTGCTCGATAGGAAAGAAGATTGAAGGATGTTTCTTGTCGGTATTCATTCTCAATCACCTTTATAGTATGACTACGACGAGGTGGTTAGTAAGCCAAGGATTTTCACACCACCCCTTCAGTATCAGCGTAATGCATTCGTACGCGATATTCTCTATACCTACATGGAAGATGCTGGTGAGAAAATTCGCAAAGTAGGTCAATTCTTCTTTGTTTCTGATGTTCAATTCTTAGTAACTGGTTCAGTTGGCCGTTCTCGGTTGTGGTTCGATGTCGTTAGAAAGATTTCTGGTCGCTCTCATGGGAAGCATGGGCATCGAGAGAGTGGTATCTGTAGATATTGATGAGAACGAATTAGCGAAAGGATTGAAGTTATTGAAGTGAGGTACAAGGCCATTAATCATTGGTCTTTGTGTCTGCACACTTTTTCATTTTTTGATAGTATTTTGCAGGTTTATTCAGATTTCTATGATAGCAGGCAAGGCCAATAATCTGAAGAAAGCTGGCCCCTGGCTGTTATCACAGAATAAAGCCCAATCATTGGCTCTCTCCATGATATTGCTGATATGTCCGTTTTTAGCTTAGCAGAGAATCAAAATGAGAATGTGATATGCAATTCGAATTCACTTCCGGTATTGCTCGACGTTTATAAAGGTGATTTATCAGATTTTCTCAGTTTTCGATCTTCATTAAAGTACTGCACTTTATCGAGAAATACCTCTGTACTCAATAAATTATGAAAATATTGCGATATACCCACTTTGCCACAAACTATCGAAAGTGGCGCTAGAATATTACAAATACATTCACCTGCGACAAAATCTGCTTTTGAAATGCAATCATGACGCAGTAGCATTTGGAACTGTCTGGCATTTAAACGGCATATATAAACGACCAGTGGTTTCTGAGTGCTCTCCACAACGGAATTCAAATTTGAGGACCGCTCAGAAACAGTTTTTCATTCTACTGTCAGAACAAACATCATCATAAGGCCATTTTCTCCTCACTACTTTCTGCGTTTCACATTTCAAAATGACTCCGCTGTAAAAAAGTTGATGCGATTTTCAAACTAAAGAATTGCACTACAACTAGGGTAAGTCTTGAAGATTGATTGCAGTCGTAGTACATTTGCTCTGCATCTAATCAACAGCGAGTTCCCTGAAGAACGGCTTAACTGTCTCACCCTTTAACAGTTGTAATACTGGTGGTTGTCATCAAAAATTCCATCAACGGCACTTTTTAGGCGACATTCTTGAATATGATGAACGGTTAGCTGGTGCTGGATGTGTGTGCTCCACGGAAGTGTAGGTTTCCTCAAATCTTGAATTCTCAAGCGTGAATTCAACCTTATCTGTCTTTTCCTGATATATCTTAAAAACGCTTCGAAATGCAAGAGAACTGATCACTTTCAGAATTGAGCACATTCCAAAAGAGGATGCGACACGGTATGTGCGGTCTGTTCTCCTGAATATCCAACCACAATTGTTCATTATTTCCACTCCGAATCACGAATACAATGAAGTATTCGGTATGGCTCAAGGACAGTTTCGCCATGCTGATCATAAATTCGAGTTTACACGGCAACAATTCAAAAATTGGTAAGGTGGCAACTTTTTTGACTGTCATTCTCAAAAGACTCGTCTATTCTCTCAGGCTGTTCGAAATATTGAGTGATTTTTTAACCGACTACGAATATACGGTGAAATATGTGGGCAATGTTCAAGGTGACCTAATCATTTTTATGCCTTTTTGTGCACGCTTCATAACTGAAGTCATTAATTTTGAGATAGACTATGATTTTCCCGAGTGTCTAGTGCCTGCAGATTTTTTTTCTCTTTAAACTTTAGGTTATAACCGATTTGGGGGTGCTACGCAATTCGGAATTATACGACGAAAACGGAACGAGATCATTACGATGTTGCCACACAGCTGCTCGAGGCCTTATAAGAAGGTTAGATATCTTCATTCGTTAAAGAGTTGTCCAAAAAACCTGGCAAAAAAAGCGAGCGACTTCTCTTTGTTTAAGGTTGGAGAACTTGTTGTGAAAAATTCTTTTTTCCCTTTGGAAAGAGAAAAGGTCAGGCAGGCCTTCATTCTGTGGTTGCAAGAGAATCCACTTCTGCAGGAGAATTTGATCAAGGTAATTTGTTCCGTTTAAAAAACTGTTCATGATTACAATATTCTTGTACCATGCAAGGTTTCTAGGTGCAATCATTCATTAAATTAAGGACTAACGTTTCAATGCATACGTCTGCAAGTGACGTCTCGTGAAGGTTCCACTGCTCAGAAGGAAGAACACACTGTCGCTACTTGCAGTCGCCTGTGGCGACAACAGATTCTTTCCGCTTGATCGGTAGAACTCGGCCTCTCGAAAAAACGATTGCGTCGAAACGTTAATGAACAAAATTTGAGAAATTGTTTCACGTTTAAACCTCGCACGGCATAAAAGTATCGCAATCACAAACAACTATGCAGAGGTTAAAGCAAGAGAGAAGTTGGAGATTAATATTCATAAATTTAATTCAGAGCTACATCGGTGAGTTCTGGCGAGTATGTATGACAGCCATCTTGAAGAATATAGAACTTCCTGCACAGCTGAAGAAGCGTCTGGACAAGAAGACATTGGTGTAGGTTGATTCAGCCATATTGTGTTTATCAATGGTATTAGTGGAACAGATATCGATCTGGAGAAAGTGGAATCGTGAAAATGTGGAGATATAGATTCACAAAACCATGGAAATTTGGTAATCGATCAGAAAATTCCCTTTCTCTTAAATTATGAATTTGTTATTGGAACCGTTGGAATCGCATAAACATTGAATGAATGAAGCTCTAGCCGCACCAGAGAAGTATAAACTTGCGAAGTCGTGGAAGGAGGAAACAGTGGAAATGTGTTGTCGATCGGTATTCAGTGTTAGCTCTAGTACCGGTTTACTCTCGCGCGTTAGTGTGTTGAAAACAAGGCCAAGTTATGTAAAGCACGTGCGGAAACGTCCCGTCTCAAGTAAGCTCCATGAGCATAAACTAACGAATGAGGCCCTTGCTTCAATTAATCAGAAATGCTAATAATAAAAAGTTTCTCCGAAAAAAAAAGCGCCGCGTAAAAACTGCGATAAGGGCGGGTGGCAAACTCACAACTTTCTCCTTTCGAGTGAAACCCTCCCACGGATACGCTTGCTGACATGCGGACAGCTGCGATCTTCGACTAAAGCTATCTCCAGACAAACTTTGAGAGCTCACAACTTTATTGGGAAACTCACATAGCAATTGCACGTTTTATATCATGAATAGTATCCTGAACTCTATCCATGTACCCAAGACTCCACTCGAAGTTAGATACACTTGATCCATGATCATCCACAAAGTTGAATCCCTTCTACTGTCACTAGCAAAAAAGCGTTGCCCGCTCTGACCTTATTCTAATTTTGGGGCGCTAATCAACCCCTTCGGAGGGATGCGCCCTTGCATTCGTCTTCCATTCAGAATCGTGATGGCGTGTTGAATGCGTGTGTGGCCTACACAATGATTTGCTGTGGCCAACTGATGTAAAAGTCAGTGCATGTATTTTTCTCTAGGGATGGGATCCTTGGTTGACTTAGGCGGTTATGGATCCGGGATTTGAACCCGTGATCATGCGTGTGTGAAGTGCGCCACTTGCCACTGTACCACCTCTGCTATTAGACTCAATATTTCGAAAGATTTTCAGAGATGTGCTGCGATTTCAATGCAACGGACGGGTAATCTATGAGACTTATAATGGCGACATTTACTTGAACATACCACACAATGTGACCAAGGAAGAACTCATCGAAATAATGACCTCGAAAAATACATAAGAATTCTCTACATTTTTAGAAAATCTCTCCCTTCATCATCATTTTCAACAATACAATTATTTTGTGGATCAAGGCCTTCTTGTACCAATAGGTATTGCTTTTTGCGGATCAGCGTCATTTCTGATGCTTCATAGATTGCAATGTTGGCTTTAATTTTCTTTTCTTTGATTAAAACTTTTGAAGCTTGGGTTACACATTTTTTCCTCGTTTCTTGAAGATCGCTATCACGTCATCTTAACATTGTAAATATGTTGTATTCAATCAATTGTCAGACTAAAAATGATTTTCTCTACTTACTTACATGGCCTCTGAGGCATCTTTTTATCTCTGTACGAGTTCTTACTTAAATTTTGTTTTGTCTTTAACATCTACTCCGATCTGCTTGGACGCTGTTACACTTCACCTATATGTGTTATTATTTATTTGTGTTTATTTTGAATAACTATTTCGAATTAAATCTTACACTCAGGTATATGTCGAGTACGGTGTAAATCCGAAACTTGCTCACCAAGAAAACGTTTAATAAACCAGTAACATCGAACAAATTAGTAAACATGCATAGATGGTGTTGAATTAGTTCTTCATGCTTGGTCCGTGGCTCATCATTCATTTAGAAATCACGCTGGAAACGTGAAGTTGTTACCAACACTATCGAAAACAAAGTTTCTTGATTTTGGGGGGCAAGAATCTTGCCAAGACTAGTATAAACACATTTTATGTAGCACACTGAGGACTGAAATAGNTCATAACCTACCAATAGAGAGTCAAGTTAGTTGTTTCCCTCTTCTTCTTAGGTTTTTCCTTCATTTCTTTCTTACTCTAATGATGATTTACAACGCTTTCCACAGGTGCCACAGCCACAATGTCCAGAAATGCTCAGGAAGTACTCTGTTACCGTTTCCAGCCAGGTGGAGACATCAGTGGAATTGAACACGGTACAAATCAATAGCAGTACTAAGTGGTTAGCAAATGCCACATCCCTAAGCAAGGGCTTGGAAATTTTTACAAAATAGTCAATAGACTCATACCTACTTCTACTCTAACATTGAACTCAATTTTTTGGAGAGAAGGTACTTCCCTCAACCTTCAGAGTTCCAGGAGACCGCAATTAGGAACGGTTTTGTGTATTCGATTCGCCGCACGCGGCTGTCGCGGACTACTTGCCTCGTACAACAGTTCTAGCGTTCTTCATTCAGCTCAAGCGATATGTGATCCTTATTTTAGGCATGATCATACTATTAGTTCTTTTGTTCCTGTATTTCTTACTTGCCTCTGCATTCTGCTAAATTTCTTCGCGCGCGGCGTCTCTATCGCCCCGACGCGACAATTTCGTTCCTACTGCCCCACTCCCGTAGAATTCCACCAGAACTGCGAAAGGTTGCGCGCGCGGCGTTAGAAAGAGCATGTGTTGGCCCCCGCCCCCTGGAACGTTAAACAACTATTTATCCACGTAGTAAAGCTGGATAGCAGTTCCCAGGATACATCGCCTTTTAACAGCTGCGACACATTTAGGGAATCGATGAAACCGAAATGTACTTACCTTTCAGAGCATCTCGTTTTTTACGCCGTTGAATGCGATCCCTGTCGATTATATCTTGCTTAATGATTATATAATAGAGCGAGTAGAAGAAGAACAGAGCTAATAGTGTTGTTAGTATTTTCTGGATAGTAGTAACCAAACGCATCAGGACGACCAACTTTTACAGGAGACCAGTAGGAAATGATGTTTTCGAGAGAATCTCATTTTATCTGTTGTGCATAGAATTGATACCAAAAAACGCAATTGGCTGCAGCCTTGACCCTTGAAAAAGCCTAATCTCCTATCGTGAACATAGAGTCATGTACTTGCTCAGTTCAAGACAACAGTTCCAATCTGTCCATACCTTCTTCACAGAATTCGGTTTATAGGTAATCTCGTCCGTTCTAGACGCTTCTCTTACTCTGGAAATGGTCAAGGTAGCCTCTCAGTCAAAGATGTGTGGCCGCTATTTGTTTATTTCGAATTCATTCCTGTAGAGTACGACCTTTTCCCTAACTTCCTATTGAGGGCTGAGATTCTCTTTCCCACCCTCAATGGCGTCTGAGAAGCGTTTAGAGTAGGGAAAAGGATGTCTGTGGGCAAAATGGGCAAAGATTAGGAATGGGTCAAGAAATCAGACGAAGGAGAGAGAGAGACTCATCCACGATGGGCGGGGCGTATCTAAGATGGGTGGCGCTTCAACATGGCTCATACACAGGTGTATCCACCACACCCTCCAACTAGATTCTTGAAAAAAAAAGAACTAAGAACAAAAAATTCATAGCTCTATAAATCTTTGTTTTGATGCACGTTTAGTGTGCAGAGCCCAACTGGTCTTGGTATAGGCTCTATTTGCATAATGTTAGCTTGAAAACAGGATTTTGAAGATGCTGCCCGTAGTAGGAAGATTAAGTCGTGAAACTCTAAACTTTGGTGTTATTGCCTTGCCGTTGTTAATCTTTTGAACCTAACCCTTGTTTATCGTAGGATTTACGCGAGTTCTTCAAATCCAATTCGAATAACAAGGGAACAAGGAAGTATCAAAATAAGCAGTGCAGACAATCGTCAGCAAGTGATCAACATTCATATGCCACACACCTGAAATGCCTATTATTGAATACCGCCCAATTCCGCAAGCTACGCCCTTGTGGCTGGACAGTCACAAACATAGCGCTTTCCACCATAACCTTAGATATCAAAAAGCATATGTTGTTGAAGTTTTGGAGCCGTAACTTGTGTTATTGGAA